ACGTACTTATGATTTCTGGACAACACTGCTTCATGATTTTGTACGGATTCCAGTAAATTGAGTCCAGTCATACACATTCAAAGTGAATATGTACCGTACACGTATATACAGTGCCGTCGCTCTGCTAAAAACTGGCATTCCCCTTGAATGTTTGATTGGAGAACTGTTTCGTCCTGTTGAGACGACATCCTCGCTAGCACAGACTCCGGTGCGCAGATATTCATCATATATGTGCATGTGGGTGTGTAAAATTAAATTGGTGAATGAATGTTTAGGTCAGAAGCAAGCCTCTCTTTCTGCCATAGCTATTGCTCATTTGTCGCGATGGGTCGGGCGAACAGGCCAGAAGAACGAGCTCCTTCCAGGAAAGAACAACTAAGTGGGATCGTTCTTGCACAGCTGTGTCTCGCTGCATCAGTTTCGATCGCAGTCTGTGAAAGAATCGTTGAATGTTAGAAGTCATGGTCCTTCTCCATTCGGTCTTAACGGGGCTACCAGCGGTCCATACTTCCCAAGCTTAACCTTCAAAAGACGGAGCAGTGTCTGCTTTTCTTGCTTGAATCTGTGAGCCTTTATCCTATCGTGCTGGGGAATTCGTGATCCGTGCCATTCTCTCACCACAGTGGGTTACAAATTGTGGGAGGATTGTTATTCTGAAGATAGCAAAGTACAAAAAATATGAAGTACGAATTCTTACGAATTTATTCAAGAGAAACAGGTATTAAAAGTTCATCGTTAGAAAAAGAGGTGCAAGTGGGCATCGCATTCGTACGTGTTCGGCTTCGCTAATGCTACCAAACACTGCTTGTACGTAATTACCTCTGCAGAATTCCTACAATTTTGGATTGCATACGAGTTTTGAATGCACGGCATCGCATTCGTACGTGTTCGGCTTCGCTAATGCTACCAAACACTGCTTGTACGTAATTACCTCTGCAGAATTCCTACAATTTTGGATTGCATACGAGTTTTGAATGCACCATAATGCACGCAAAAAAGAAATAAGTTTCGTGATTGAGGGTTGAGGCCACAGGCCAGAGTGCACTAGAATTTTAAAGAATATTTACCGTTTACCTGTGCTTTTTTACACCATGAATGAAGTGCGAAAACGCACGTTATCATTCGTTTTGAGTCAAACTTCTCGTATTACAAGGAGAGTGGGGCGGGGCGTGCTTGGAAAACAAATAAATTTCATTCGTTATGCATTTTCGTATGATAAAGTTCATGTTGTCAAGGGACTATCGAAGCTTGTGTTTTTAGTAGCAGCTGGAAGTTATAAAAGCAAGGCTTGTTCCTTTTTATGCGCTTTTTATGCGTTTTTGCCTATATGCAAATTGCAAAAACGCATATTGGGACGACCCTGTCTG